GAGAGAGAGAGAGAGAGAGAGAGAGAGAGAGAGAGAGAGAGAGAGAGAGAGAGAGAGAGAGGTTACAGGCAGATGTTACATTGGACTACGAGGCCCAGGATCTGCTTAGACATTTTCGTGGCAGACATTGATTGGACATTTGGCAGGGAGACTATTTGTGGACTTCGCTATTGTGATCTTGGTCTTCTCCCTCATCTCCATCTTCGTCTCGCCCCTTTCCCCATCTCCTCATCCGCTGTATCCCCCCATGTGCGTGCTCAAGGAGGGACCTTTATGTATGCGGTCCCTCCCCCCTCTCTCACATGTGTGGTGTATGATGGGGTGTCACGTCAGTATCTGACCGGTCAGGTCATATCTTTGAGTCTTCCGCTGTGCTGCATTGTGCTATTTTCATTGGATGTACATTGCTTGTTGATGCTTCGCTGATGCTGCATTGTCCATTCAAGTCCTTTTCATCACTTTGCGGATCCTTTGGCTCCGTATACATCGCTCGATAGAGCATGTATCACACCCCAGAACCCCAAACTAAACAGTGGGGGCCAACCCTGCCGGAACTACTTTTTAAGTTGTGAACAGGATGACTCCGATGATCCCCACCAGGCTACATTTATAGACATTCTGGTAACCGTCTTTCCCCCATTTGGCAGGCTGGCACACTGCGGTTTCTATTGCGCTGCTGAGGCTGAGTGTGAGCTGCGCATCCATGCGTGCACTACTCCCATGAACTGTCTTTCGGAGTGGGCTCGTGCTTCACCACCCAGCGCACTTCACAAGCACCGCCCTTCTCCCACCAGATGCGCCAGAAGAATGTAGACTCTTAAGGTAGCGCTCTCTCTCTCTCTCTCTCGCACCTCACCAAAACGAGGATTCTCAAATGGAACACTCCTCGGGGTAAGAAGAATAAAGGAAGGTAGTTAAGGTAAGAGACAACATACCTCGTCATTGCTTCCCCCAACCGCTGATTATCTCACCAGCTGTGATGATGTGCCGTTCGTTGACCGGTCGTAGCTTAGGGACCACTGACAATACACTGCAAGTGTCTCCATAAGCAACGGCGAGCATCATCATACTCCCAACAGACGTGTTGTTGCACGCTTGATCCTGTGCATGACCAGCAATCCACGGAGTATGTGATCACCCTGCTTGCATTCACATGCACCAACCAAATCTCACCAGGTACCAAATTGTAAGGAAATAAAAGAAAGCAATGCGAACAGCAGTAAACCATATTGCGACATCTCACAGAAGACCATACATCATTGAGCCGAAATTGAAAGCAGAAGTCAAAGCGAGATGCACACCAAACAGGAACGAGCGAAACACTGAACTCTCTTGATAAACAAAGCCCTTCCAATGCCTCCAGTCATCAATGCAACAACAATGTAGCTCTGCTGTAGGTGTGCTGGATGCCGACTCTACTTCCTGTTGCGCCTATCTGACTAGCCTATCTATGCCAGCACCCAGTCCACTTGTCATAAGCCGCATGCCGCTTGAAGACTCTGATTGTTACGGACTTCGCCAGGGCTCGATCCCTGGTCTATCTTTTGCTGTTTTGGCTGCATCCCGTTCTCGGCCTGGCACCCTTTTTCCAAACCCCTCCTTTGGTACCATAGGATTTTGGACAACTGGCGCCATGCTGCAATTCGGGCGCCACTTTCAAATACTGCATTTTTCAGTTCTGCCCTCGGGGCCTTTGCAGAAATGCCCCTGGTACTGTACGTGTCACCGGTACTTGTACCGGCTCCCTGTACGGTACGGGGGGCAGTCTCGTACCAGTTCTCTGCTGCTGTACTCGTACTCAGTGTGACTTGCTGTTTCGGCATTCGGAATCCAAGACTTCGACTTTGTGCCTTACCACTGTGTCTGCGTCCGACCCTCAGTCCGAGTCCGTCGAGTCGAGTGAGTGAGTGTGTGTGTGTGCTCTCACTCTCTCCCTCTCTCTCCTGTCCCCCGGCTCACCCTCAGCCTCACGCTCGTTACACTGATCGAACGGCATGCCTTCGTCAACCCCAGGTACTGTGCCTCGTTCACATCACACCTCTTCCTTGTCCTCCACCCCTTGCTCCGCCAAGGACCTCCGCACTTCCACCACCCTGGGTATGGAGCGCTCAGGCCGACTATGGCTGGCACTCTCCCTTTTTTTTCCTCGCTGCCACCGCAGCAGCTTCCCACAGGTACAGCGGTCAGCTACTGCTCCAGCAGTGCTGCCACATGTGCACAATGCCCCAGTGTTTGAGTCTGGGAGGCCTCCAGTCTTTTGTGCTGGATGGCTGAGCAGGCCGTGTCCAGGCTGTGCCCTGTCCAAGTTGCCCTGCGCCCTGGCCCTTCCAGAATGTGCTGCAACTGACACGTAGGCTGGGGCCACTGGGCCTACCGGTTAGTTGAAGATGCTGGACTCGTGCTGCAACTACCCGGTGCCCCTTTCTGCTCACATTGGCCTGTTCTCAGGCCCAGCTGCATGTTGTCAAGCACGCCTTCACTTAGTACAGGCAGGGCCTCTTTTTGGCTTACCTGAGGTTTTGAATCCCTTGCAATTGGGTATCTCTGCAGAGTTAATCACCAAAGATAAAAAGGGGAAAGAGAAACGAAGAAAAGAGAATGGAAGAAAGGCATTGGGTCGCCCTTAAGGCCTTACCACAAATCCACTGTGAAGGATTGGGATCCTCTGTTCTGCTGTCCCACCAGTGGAGAAGACTGTTTGAACTTTTGAAATTTGAAGCCTAATCTTCACTCTGATTTGCACACTTTGGGGAGACACCCAGAAAGCCGATGGGTACGTTGACGAGTCAGAAGATTTGAATGAAACCCTGCTTGATCTCCTTCATGTGATTACTCATGGTCAAAATAATCGGGATAATTGATAACATCTTGTGCAATTGGCAAATGTGTAGTCTCTCTTGAGGAATATCTGCACCTTTACTGCTGGCGCACCACGCCATGCCAGAGTAATTGTATCTTGGGTAGGAACTCTGACAGAAGCAGCTTTGCAAACCAAGTTTGTGGGTAAGCTTAGAGGGAGCGGCTGAGCGGACCCCCAAAAGCCAAGCATGGATGACTGAACAGGCGGATCATTATCACTGAGCAATCTACCTCCCTGTGGGAATCCTTCCTTTTTCCCCCGAATAGAACCGATGGTCATTTGCACTGCATCTGGACAGAAAGGTGAGCCAAATACGGCTACAATGACCGTATGTCGTGTTTGGGGGAGGGACGGTGGTCTGGGCTGTCTGGGGGAATGGGATTCAAGGTGTGGAATGCACTTTCTGTCAGCAGTGATACATTTCCTCGATCAGCTGTTTGCTCTTCCAAGTGCCTGGATGCCTTAGTTCCATGCGAAGCATCATCAAGATAAACTGATGGGCGGTTGTTGTGTGAATGACGGTGACGGTGCTCACTCACTGTATTAACCTCCTTGTTCAATGGTCATCGGATCGTGCTGCTGTGCAGGGGCATCAATCACCTTGTGCGGGCATAGCGTAGCAACGACATAGCAAGCCAATCGTGAGACTCGGGGACTACGGCCTCAAACTATCTACTCTGACCAAGATGCTTGTAAATGCCGGGGGATTCTCATTCTGGACAGATAAGAAAAATTGATGAAGGTGTCCTCTCTGTGCCTGAATGTGATGGCATGGTTGATCCATTGAGAAGCGAAGCAAATATTGGGTTTTAGGCTCTATAACGGAGAAGTGGAAAATGTGATAGGATGCAGGGATTGGTACTGTTGAAATCGGAGTTCCAAGGCATTTCTCCAGTTCTTACGAACTCGTCATCGTCACCACCATTATCATCAGCCAGGGATGCTCCGTAATCATTTCACGAGAAGCGGACTGGATTGGCATTCTTATTATTACCTGCCACCTTGCAACCAGTAACCTTGATCTGTCTGGAAGCTTCGGTGTGATCTCAGCCCTGGCTGTATTGCTGCTCTTCCACCTTGGGGGTTTCCTCAGCAATAACACATTTCAGTGATGGACCATGATGTCAAGTATTGGTAAGTGAATCATTGTTTAACCCCCCCCCCCCCCCCCCCCC